CTCTCTCTCTCTTTCTCTGGGTGCATTCCCAGAGATTTAGATCGATCCAGAGATTTATATTTAGATCGACCTACCGGTAACTCCCTGGGGGTTCACGCTAAATTGCAGTCAGCGGAGCACGTACCATAGTTAATTACCCCCTTACAGCTTTTAGTAGGCAGGACAGACGCTTAAGCCGGCTAAGCTGATAGTAATCTAGTGAAACTCCCCACAGGGATAGATCGATCTAAAATCTATGGGAATGGGTTCTCTGATAGATCTATAGAAAGTACAATAAACTCTAAGATATCTTAATCTCTGGTGATTTTAACTTGGTTATTTTGTGATGCATTATAAACAGACTTAGGGGAAAAGGATTCATTCTAATAATTTCAGCAGAGTAAAAGGGGATGTGCAGTTCAGTCCAGTAGGCAAGGGGGGGAGAGGGGTTGGTGAGGGGGGAGGGGGGTTGGTGAGGGGAGGGGGGGGGTTGGTGAGGGGGAGGGGGGGATACAAAAGAACTGCCCAATTTTAGCAGGGGGAAAATTCACTCTGAATGAACAATTGATTTAAGTTTAATTAACTTAATGCCCTTTCTCAAGTAGGGTCAGTTTATAGGGTGAGGTCCCTGGCATCAGATCTGGCAATTTCCTCTTATCTAAACCCATTATCATATTCCTGGATGGGCTTGACCCTTTCTTACCACATTTTGCACACAGAGTTAATTTTTATGCTAATAAATTACCTTTCAACCTATATTTCCATAAAATAATACATAATCTGCTTAATCTCAAATTCCATTTCTGTTAGGTAAACAGTCGGTTGACCCAAAAGACTGATACTGTGTGCACGTCAAAAAAGTCACAAACCGCATTTCCCCCATAAAAAAGATAACAACTTGAGGTTATCTGTTATCAACAATATTCTATTACTTTCAGGAAAAACTGTCTTTTTCTATTATCCTCAAAAGCAGATAAATATTTTTAGGCCAGAAAAAAATTGGTAAGTTGGTTAACAAGAGAAAGATCTCTGAAAACAGGCTTGGTCAACTTGGTAGACAATTTTTTTAAACATACTGTATGATATTAAATTGGCATACCAGCTAAATTTTGAAGTTGTTTAGGGTTATTCCTGAATATAAAAACAAAAGTATTTATGTTTTTCCTCTGGTCATTTAAGAATTTTTCAACTATCCAAACTAATGCAGAATCCATGTTTTTCCATTTGTTAACAAAACCCACTGCTTTATTCCAAATAAGGGTCGTCTTGCCAGTTAACCATCTTATCAATTTGGCATGACCTTTCACCCCTTCTCCTTAAAAAAAGCAGACACTATGCTGATACAATCTTCAGTGCATATTTCACCTCCTACACGGATGGATCTCCTCTCCTCCCCTATGTCCTGGGTGACACTCAGATGTGGTTTTAAGAAAAAAAAAAAATGATGTTATCTTCGATGTGTCATTATTTTCCTGAAGCATATCCCCCTTACGAGTCCCCTAGCAGAGCTGCCCATAATATCTAGCTGTATGCCCAAGTTCAATCTGTCACTCCAGAATTACTCCTAAAGACAGTAAATGATACTATTATGCCTTGTGCCAAAGAAAATGAAATGAAAAATATAAACTAGAGTCTATCAAATAAGAAAATGAGCTGATGTTGTCTGAGATGAATCGGTAAATCAGTTGGCTTAATCTGAAATTTCAGTGAGTGCATTTGCCATGGTCAAAGCACACAAAACTCCACTTAAAAACTGTGATGAATTCCCTAGCAAGAATTATAGCCTTTTTATTTCTTTTTAAATGAACCTATTAATGACTGTCTTCAGAAAAACATTTTATCCAGAATTTCCATTTCACCATCAATTTCATATACTTCTCTACAGCTCTCCTTGTACATTTATATTAAAGAATTAAATTTGTTCTTTAAATACTAGTAGTAGGGCCTATTAAAGTGCAAAAAGGGGTGGAGGGTGGGGAAACATCATGATAAGAAACAAGGAATATTTCTCAAAAATTTGAATTAGGAGAGAATATCTCTCTCTCATCTCTCAATATACTAAACTCAGGGTCAGCTTCTGGCAGCAACAAGAACACCATGGAATTCTCAAAATTGAGAGGATTTGGGGACCATTTCCACATATATTTGGATCAAGCTATCTCCCTGGGGAGTCTCACTAAATTGCTATCAACCTAACCAGCTTAAATGTCTGTCATGCCTAGTAAAGCTGTTAGGGGGTAATTATCTTAATTTACCCCTAGCTGATTTGGTAGGCATGACAGACATTTAAGTTTGTTA